TTGATCTGCCCTGTCTCCCTTTTCCTGTATCTTTTGGCACAGGCATCAGGAACTGCATTAGACCTTTGAAGGGCCCTGCAAACTAGGTTGGAACCACTTCTGTTTAGGAATGGAGCAAGTTGATTTGTGGGGATAATCTTCAAATTATGGGGCCCTCCCCACCCCCTACTCTGCTGGGGTGGCAAAACTGGAGGCCCATTCTGTGACTCTAGAAAATTCTACAAAGTGGATAGCACTCTTCTTTTTCAAGGCTAAACTTTCTTAATTTGTTCAATCTCTTTGCATAGGACTTAGTTTCTAGCTCCTGATCATCCTTGTTCCCTTTCTTTGCACCTGTTTCAGTTTGCTTGAATCCTTAAAATGCAGGGCTCAGAACTGGACAGTCTGATCAGAGAAAAGCAGAAATGGAAATTATGCTTCTGTTGATGCCACCAAAATATTGCATTTGGTTTTCCTGCAGCTACATCACACTGGTGATTCATAATCACTCTGTAAACTACTGTGCAGTGCTTTGTCAAGTGCTTTGCTTGAGATAGGAGCACATATTTCTACAGTCTATTAAAGAAGCTTCCTAATTAAAAAAAAAAGTAACGTTAGTCCTCATAAATCCATGTTGACCCCTTGCAGTTCAAATATTATTTTAAGGTGCTATCACCTTATTATCTCTAGAACTTTGTATAATTCTCTGGATTTGCCTCTACTCTCCCCCCCCCTTTTTTTTTAAAGATAGGAACAACAGTTGTGTTCCTCCAGCCATCTGGTACTTCACACTTCTGAATTTCTGAAAGAGAAAGGATTTGGTCAGACTCTCAGGCTAGTTCCTTCGGTACCCTGGGATGCTGTTGGTCTGACCCTGAACATTTAAACTCATTCAGAATAGATATTCTCTAACTATTAACTACATTAACTATATCAATGTCTAAGTGCAATCTTGCCTCTCTATCTAGCTCTTCACAGTTGCCTGGTGCAGGACATGTTATTCTTAATCACCTTTGCTAACCGCAGCTCATTCTGAACTTCGGCCACCTGGCACCTTCTGTATATTACCTGGCTACGTTGGGTACTTTTCTTTTGTGGTCTGTTTCTACCCACCTTATGTATCACTAAGCTTTTTGTGCAGCTGCATCAGCCTTTTCTTCTGCCTTGATTTTTCTCCCTTCCCAGGAATTGTTTGCAATTGTGGTTTTAATATCTGGTACCCATGTTGGGGTCCTTTTCCCATTAATTTTCCCTGCTATGGACTCCTATCTACAATTGCCCTGAGTTTATTGAAATCTTTTTTTGAAATCGAAGATGAATATTTGACTACACTAAGTTTTAATTTATCTCAAAATTAAGACCTCTAGCATTATACAGTCAAGGTCCTGCTACTTCTATTTCCTTGACTGAGTCTTGCCTACTCATTGGTATCAAGTCAAGGGGAGCTGATTGTCTTGTATATTCCTTCACCTTCTAAAACAGAAAATTGTAAGCAAGACAAATCTGGAATTTCCAAAAGGACCGTAATAGTAGAGTTTGTCTTCCAAAGGCTGTCATGATCGTAAATTACATAGTAAAATTCCATTCCTATGCTTGTAGCATCATTCTGGCTGGACTTTGGACCATATAGCATGCCCCTCTGTGTGTTGATTTACCAGGTTTGGTCAGACACAGTTTGGTTTTGTGCTTCGTGTTAAATCACAATGTTAATATATAGACTTCTTCTGCAACTTGGGGATAATATGAGGCCTGGAAAAGAGATTAATACGCGCTAGGAATCTGTTCATAGGATCTTAAACGTTTTTTGGGAAAATTAGAGACTGTAAATTTCCTTGAAATTCCAGGAGCATACTGAACAGAAGATCTTGTTGAGACTTACTGGGCTGCAGCCTTTGAAATCACGATAGATGCTGGAAATGAAAAACACCAGACGCTGATCTCATATTCCTCCTCTGGTGATGCATAGTCATATCTCATCTCTGGAGAGAAGACAAAATAAGGCTCAGATTATTTTGTTTAATTACCGTACTTCAGTAAGCACCTTTCATTTGGGAGCTCAGGGAAGCATGTATAGTGTTCCCACTTCCTATTTCCCCCCCAACAACAACCCTTTGAGGGAGGCCCAAAGTCACCCAATGAGTTTTTGTGGCTGAGGGTGGACTAGGTCCTGGGTCTCTCCATTCCTAGTCCTAAAGTTTCAAGGCAGTTGTAAGGATGCTGATTTTTAGATCACCTGGCACTTCATGCCAAGGATAGGAATGAAAGTGCTTAAATTACTGTGGTTGAGAACCTGCCTGAAGACTCTGAAATGCATAATGAGACAATAATTTTAGCAAGCATACAAAATAGCATGCAAGGTTTCAAGTTCTTAAGAATTCCTAATTAGGATAGTAGATAGTAAATAAAACAAAAAAGGAAAGAAAGAGGAAAAATGAGAGATGCTTGTTATGTCTATATTTAACTTTTTAAACAGGTCAAGAGAGGACATTATAGACATGCAAATTGATCCTATCAGGTCCTAACTGGCATCAAGTCTCCTCTAAGAATTATTGGGAAGAGGAGAGAAATATATAATTCCCAATTTTTATAAATATAAAAATTGCACTTTGTCACCTTAAAGCGACACAATTCATATGGATAATGGAATTATTCATATCCATTATCACATGGATAATGGAAGTTTTGCCTTGTGGCTAACAAAGTTACATTTTTTTGGCCAGAGAATGACAGCAAAAATTTTCCTAACCTGATACCCCCCAAACAAATGAAAAAATGCATCAAGCAGTAAAGAGTGCTGCTCTCTGCTAGCTTTAGCTTAGACTGCAGCAGGGAATTGCTTATTTTGGCTGGTGTAGTCATACCTCGATGGGTAGGATCAATAGGGCTTTCCAGTTCCAAGGGGGACAGAGGTCAGGATACAGTACATATATCCCACAGGGTCACCTACTGTTTCATCATCCCACTTCTTGGGATACAGTATCCTTGGCTTAGCATGCCACTGAGAATGTGTTTGTTCATTTTAAACATTGTTTAACATCCTCCCATTGAAAGGAATCTCATTTACAATTAAAGATTAGTTTACAATTAAAAATTAGAGTTTCAATTAATACAAGAGAATAAAACAATAAAATATAAATTAAGACATCTTATAAAATACAATGTACAAATTAAAAGGAATAAGATAGTATAGTAAAATAGTATCAAAAAGTAAAAGCTGCAATAAACAAGTTAAGAATCATAGGAACATTCATTTACCAGAAGATTGAAGAACAGACAAGAGAATCAGTTCTCCTAGATCTGACTCTAATCAGTAAGGAAGAGCTGTTTGAAGAGATAAAAGCAGAGGGAACCTTGGGAGGAAGCGACCACTTCATTTTAGGTTTCAAGAAATAGAACACTGCAGATGCACATTTGGTTTCGAGAGCCCCAGTTTCAACACGGTTAGAGTAGTGTTGCATGGATTCCATGAGCAAAGGTCCTCAGATCAAAGGGAGTGCAGCACTGTTGGGAACTCCTCAGGAATATAACAGCATACCATTCCAGTAAGAAGAAAAAACGGGGGATGGCTTAGGGAATCATTATAGATGCATAGGGAGTCAAAAGGGGCATATATAGAAAAGGGAAGGTGGTTGCAACTGCTAAGGAAGCCTACAGGCAGATAGGTAATATCTGCAGGGAGTCAGAAAGATTAAAGCATAAATGGACTTTAGGTTCACCAGGAGAGCTACAAGCAATAAAAAAGGGCTTTTACAGTTATATTAGTAGTAAAAGAAAAAAGTAGGCCTACTGCTTGGAGAAGATGGCAAGTTGGTAAATTTATGGATAGATTTATTCAAATCTAATTGCTATTTATTCACCTCTATTGGTGCTATTTCTTAGCTATATTTACAAAAGTTTCTTAATAGAGCTCAGTCATCTGTAAAAATGTTCTGGGTAGTCATACTTAACATGGATTGATGGACTGGAACAGCTTGTGTCCCCGCTATACACTAGCAGCTATATTCAGACATCACACAAAGCCATGAAGTCAGTTACAACTAACCTGCATAATTAGTTTTTGGTTTAATGTGTTGTATGGACCCAGAAAAGGATGTGGAATAATCATGGCTGAGTTAACTGTAAGTGTCTATGTGAATGTAGCCAAGGACTAACAATGTACTGATAAGCCAGAACCTGAATGATAGGCAGTGGAACATTTCAGCTCAGGGCAAAATGGGGGAGGTCAGATGGAGGCACGTGGCACCTTTCTAGATGTGCTGGGATTGCCCAAACTTCAATGGTACTTGGGAGTTCTGAGCATTGTAATCCTGTTGCATCTGGAAAGCATCAGCTTGAGCAAGGCTAGGTTTAGCTGAGTGAAAAAAGAAGAGACCAGGTGGCAGGCAAAGTAGCTTGAGTAATTAGAATTACTAGGCTCCTGTGTTCACACAACTGTTTGACCCATGGATAACCAAACTATGATTCATTGAATTAACTCAGCTAGCTGGGTTTGCCCAACACACTAGACAGAAATGCAGCTGGGCATTTGTAACTCAGGCTGTTGTGCAAACACAAAGTCTGTTGTTCTAATCAACGTGGAAGCCCAGAAATAGAGATGGAAACCCAAGTCCATTTGTCTCAAATCCACTTCCCCACAGCTGCCTGGATCTCTTGTTCTGAATGCCACATCCCATTGCGGGGAGAGGTGAAACTGTTCTTTCTATCCCGCTCCGTGACTGAATTTCTGAGTTGCATTTGGTTGAGAAAATCGAGCGTGCAAGGCTTCCTTTGGCGAAAGGCCGGCGTGGGAGGCCAAGCTAGGGGTCTCACGAAGACCAAAGACCGCTTAAGGAGGCGGCCGTCCGAGCGCAGGCCGGCGCCAATCAAGCAGCTCTGCCCGAGCCGGCTCTTGGAAAGGCAGGGCCGGCTGCCGCCTCCCCCCCGCCGCCCCACTTTTACAGGTTTGGCCAGTTCGGCCCCCGAGGGAGAAGCGATCCAAGGCGCCTCATTGGGCGGCTGTTCAGCAGCTGACTGGGAAGGAGGGAGGGGAGAAAAAGAGAGAACGCGGGGAAGGAAGCCCAGAAGGCGGACGGGATGGCGAGGGAAGAGGAGGCTTACTACGGCAAGCACGGTAAGCCCCGCTCGAGCGCCGCCTTTTGTTTCCCCGCCCTCCTCGATCCGGGGCGAGGGACAGCAGCAGGTGGTCTGGGACGGGGACGGGATCGGGGAAGAGGCTTCCGCGCGCTCGGAGGGGGCGCGTCGCTGCTCCCCGGCGGGTCAGGTGCCTGTCTTGGCTTGGCCACCGACCGCCTCCCGGCCAAGGGGAAAAAGTAGTTCAACCTTGGCGATCGCTTGGGAGGAGGCAGTCGCTGGTTCTGCCTCGCAGCCGAGGTGCAGCCTTTCCTCGGACCTGACTTGTTCCCAAGGCGGGTCTGGAAGGTATTGCTGAGAACATCGGTGGTGGAAAAACACACCCGCTTTTTGCTTGACTTTAACCACTAGCAAAGGGAGGAGGAGGAGGAGGAGAGTACAGTAATCGAATTGAACAACCGAGCAGGGATACTATCAAGGCAAAGGAAAGGCCTCCTGCTATGGCCAGCCCGCATGCAACAACCTTCAAATCACTCTTGTTTCCGCCACTCCCGGTTTGTTTAATGTTTGAATTTGCAAGTGACTGAGACTAGGTTAAAACTGGAGTGGATCGTTTGTGGTTCAGCAAGTTGTAAGAGCCCAGGCAATGCTGGCATGTTATGCAAACAGACTCTCACAATAACTGCCCAGAGTCACTGGGAGTTAGGTGCCATATAAATGTAAGTTATTAATTATTATTAATAAGGCTAAAGTAGTTCTCTTACTTGGGCATATTCAGCGTTTTGTGTACTACCTACTTCAAAGGCTCTGGGTGATTTATAACAATCCTGATACATCAACATATAATACAACAGTCCCCCTACTACTGTATTACCAGTCAAAATCCCAATATAATAAAATCAAATTCATAAAGGTCTGGTAACAAAGCTGGTCCCCCCCATGAGCACCAAATGCTCCCTAGAACAGGATGGCTTCTGCTGTCTCTTGAATGCCTAACAGGCTGGGGCTCTTCTGCCTTGAGGAGAAGACAGTTCCATGATGCTCTGTGAATATAGCAGTTAGGTTTAACTAGGATTGACTTTTCAGGGTGTTGTGATAATCAAGCCTATTTGACTCAGAAGGGGTAGGAAAAAATGTGATTGATCAAATCAGCATTATGTGGTCATCCCTGTTGTGTGCTTGTGGGGCCTTAAATCTGATTGAAAGCTCTGCAAATAAAACTACTTGGGCAGGGATTTGAAATATATTTAATTATTTTGGTTAACAGAAAATTCTACTTTATTCTAGAGTGGACTAAAACTAAGTGAAAGTTTGGGCATAAAACTTTCAAAACTGATAGCTCAGAGTCAGATTGTTGTTGCTTTCTCCTGTAGCCAGCAAAGTGGAAATCTATCTGCAGTGGCTCTTACTAGAGCGAGGACGTGATATCTTGTCTTCCATTTTTCTGCAGTGCAACTCTTGTGCTGTCCTGGGAAGGAGGTAGCACCAACAAAACTGGAGTAGGAATGGGGCAGACTAATCATTTGCATTCAGTCACTTCTTTAAGGTGGGCTTACTGGAAACAAAAGCAGGGGAGAGAGTGGTAGTCTTAATGTGTTCTGGCTGGAGAAAAAGCATATATGACAACCCTTAGTATGATTTAAAGCTGCATCTTGGTTAAATTAACTGATTAAAACTAACTGAAAAATGTGGTCCTGATTAATTGGGGAATATTTTTTTTTCTTGAATGTTTATAAAAACTGTAGATGAGAAGCACGGACACAAAGAAGTATTCTTCCATTTCTCGCATACAGTAAGAATACCTGTTCTTAGATAATGCACGGTGCAGCACAGTTCTGTGTTATATAAAAACAAAAGTAATACATTTTTTGCTTCAGAAATATTTTATCAAATTACTTTGCCGCCACTAAGTAGCCATTCTTGTGCATATATGGAAAAAAAGTATTAGTTTTAGATATAATCTAGCTAATTCTATATATATATATATACAGTGGTACCTTGGTTCACGAACGCTTCTGTTCACGAACAATTCAGCTCACGAACAGCACCGTTCGCAAAATTTTGCTTCCATCTGCAAACTCCGCATCGGGTGACGAACAGGATCCACGGCCATTTTCCCTGCCATGACACGTGGTTGTGGCTTGCTGTAGGGAGGGGGACTCTCCCTCCAAAC